AAAAAAAAAATTTAAGGATTTTGATGAATTTTTTTAGGAATAAAATAGCCATTATACGGATAGGAGCGCAGTTGTTGTCACAAATATGTAAATATTGGACGGAAATAATATTGATGACATACGTCGGGTATCTGTGAATTTCAGTTCTTCATCCGAAAAGAAAGGAAATTGAGGAAGAAGAATCATTTCCTCTCTATCTTCGTACTTTGTAAATTATTACTTGAATCGTTTCTTCTGTGCTTCATCGAGACTGACGAATACGTGAAAGAGACGTTGTTGCGATTTCCTTCTTTCATAACACTATACTGAATACTAACTACAGCTAATTATCGCTGCTATCAGTACTGATTATTGTTATTTGAGAACATACTGTTATCATCGCTATTAATACCATCGTTACTCTTATCAGTGATATTATGATAAGCTATTTGATAAGATTAATTCTAGTTTCAAACCTAATTTGTAAATTATCACTTATTTTGCATATCGTTTTAATTTAATTCTATTCCCAATTGTTCTTTTTTTTGGCTCCTTTTCTTTCTTCTTCTTCTTCTAGTCTTTTGCGGCAAATTTAGTTTTCGCTTAATTCAAAGGAAAACCGATTTTTAGCTTTGATATTGAAACCAAAATCAAAAACGTTAGAAAGCATTAATGGCACAGGCGGTACTATCAGAAGACAGAAAAGCACTTGCCGATGCGACAATCCTTCACACTTTCCACCAGAAGATAACTGTTCCTTTTTATGCCCTTTGCTAAGTGCCATTTGCTTCGATCAACCGATTTTCCCCTTTTTTTTTTTCTTATCTATTTTTATTTTTGTTTACTTATTGACTTTTATGACGCACAGAATAGTTTTTCTTTTCTTTTTTCTTTTTTTCTCTACTTACCATATCATATTTGTTTTGCCGTTATTCTTTTTGCTTTTTTTTTTGATAATTTTTATTGTTTATTTAGCATTTTGCCTTTTTTTTTCCTGTTATTATTTTTCCTGTCATAGATTTAGTAATCAAATAAGATTTTATTAGGCAAATAAGACTTCAATATTTTTAATAAGAAATTCTTCAAAAGATGCAAAATAATTATACGATTAAAAAAAAAAAAGCGTTAAAAATAAAATTGATTGCAAATTTTCGGAAAACATTTGATACTTTACAGTGATGGATGAAATTGCCTTAATTGAATCACCACAATCCACGTATATAACACGTTCACGGAATGCGACATTAACGTGTCGAGCGCTTAATGCTAAACGAATACGTTTCAAATGTAACGGACGATGGGTATATATTTGTATAATTTTAAAATAAACAAACATTGTTGTTTAAATCACATTAATTTTTGACAATTTTTAATGTGAATGCAAATTCCTTGAAATTCAACTTTTTTTTGAATTAGATTTAAATTCTTTAAAATTTATCGCAATTATTCTCAGCATTTTCCCATAACTGCAGTATTCAATAATGGCGCAACATTACTTATTTACATGGATGTGTTATCTGGAAAAAAAAAAAGAAAGAAAGAAAAAGTAACCGGCTTGAATCATTTTGTTTAATCAGATTATTTTATTTGAATCATTCAAAACTGAACTTTTATTATTAGTTGGACGATTCACGCCATAATGTATCGCAAGAAACAGATGCCGCTACCCATTTGCCATTCTACAAAGCAACCGTTGA